ATATATATATATATATATATATATATATATATAAAGTTTGCTTTCATTGATGTTCCAAAGAGAACAGCTGGTATAGAATATTATTTAAGCTTAGTGACTAAAACCTTCAATAAATGAGTCTAGCAACCGTTTTTTAAATTACTGAGGTTTCTTAATTACGACGAAAGCGGTATTTAACTCATCCTTTTAATTTTGAGACGTTGAACATTTTACAATAATATTTATGGTGTAAAATAAATATTTAGGTAAATTAAAAATGTAGAGGTACACTATTTTGAATCTGACGTTTTTTAGTCATTATTTGCAACCTTAAAGTCTTTATCACTGCATAGTATATATAGTTAACTGAGGAGTAACTTTTTTCTCAAGAAAATATCAATTACAGCTATAGGTGTAACCGATGTAACAGTTATCGAGTGATTAATGATATTCAAGCGTCACAACTACATGAACAGTATACCAGGCAGCTACAACAACAGATCTATTTCTTGGAACTTGAGAACAATTATTTGTAAATCAGATTTATTTCTTATTCAAATTTTAGTTAATGAAACGGATGAGAAACTAGAGATTACCGGCACAATTTCTGCTGTAACTTTTCGTTGTATTAACTTATTTGGTAGTTACAAAGGTTAATAAGATAAACAATAAAAAATTATTTTGTTGTTATTTGAATACTCCAGTAATTGTTTAATGAGAAAACTATTTAGGCGTCAAGGAGAGCAAAGAAAAATTCGGGATAAATCCGATTTAATAGTAAAGTCTAATGGTCAAAGGAACTCTGAACTGGAAAAAGGTATTAATTTCTACGCAGAATATTTGAAACATTTGGACGCTTGTAGCAGTGGTGCTAGCCAACTGTCACCGAGCGATGAGGCACATACGCAGAACAGTGATCTTTATGATGGTAAAGCTACGTTTGCAACCACTCAGTCTGAACTTCTGCAAAAACTAGAAGATGCTTATCAGGTTAAAATTATTTAAGGATTTTTGCTTTATCAACTTACTGGTTAGTGGTCTTGCATAAGGCTAAGTGTTAGAACTGGTTATGTGTATGCTCAGGTTTAAAATAATGATTCTGCGAGCTAAAATAATTCCCTTGCTCTGACCAGCTAACTGCCTCAGTTCTCTAAAGTTGTTTCTATCGCTCGTTAACTTGAAGAACCATGCTCATTTGGCATTGCGCTGTCTAAGTAGATCACCATATTTACGTTACTCTAGCAAATTAATGTTAGCAAGATGCTACTTTGGGAAATTGTAGTATGCCATTTCGATAATACATGGAAAGATGTTTTTCACATTCTTTTAGTCAGTACAATATTCAAGCAATAATTTATGACTTATTATTAGCTCTATTATTTTCTACAATATAAAAATATGTGTTAGTTTAATTACTACTTCTCTTTTTAACAAAGAAATTCAAGCGAGTATCGCTGATAATGATCGGTATATTCTAAATGCTACACAATGTCACTAATTATTACATTTTCTTTCAGCGTGAGTCTAATTTAGAAGAAAAGCTAAAGGAAAAGATAAAGAGCTATCAAGAATTAAAAGAGGAGAATGTCAGCTTGAATAAACAAATTGAAAGCTTTACAACTGGGCAAACTAAGTTGGCAGGTAGGCAAAATCACAATTTTGAGCATTAATTGTATGAGTTGGATGCTTGATTGTTCAATGATTTGTTGCTGAAACAAACCAGTATTTTAGAGAAACATTCTCGGGATAAAAGAGCTTTAGTTGAAGAAATAGTTGAATTACAGAGACGATTAGATGGTTTAACTCCCTCTCTTGCGCTAAAGGTACTTATCTCAGCCCTTATTTTTTTGCTTTACCGAGACTTCTTTGTCTTTTTACAGGTTTTTATTGTTGTGACAGTCATAACGAAAAAGACGATAACTTTGATTGTTTGTAATGCGTTGAAACATAACTTGTCTGATCAGAAAAGACAGTCATCTTTTTTTTCCAGATTTTGGCTACAGGTTTCATGCACAAAGAGTTTTAGTGCAAACTGATTTTTCCACTTACTGTATCTATAAATCTTGACTATTAACGTTTATTCTCAATATCCGATAACTTACAGAAATAGTCTGTTCTTTTTACAACAGCAGCAATTGTTAAAAAACTTTTAGGAAGCTCAAATTGCAAGGCTGGAGACCGAAAAAGACACAGCAAACAATCAAGTGCGGAACGTTACAAACCAGTTACAGTGTTTACAAGTATTTTTTATATTTTAAAAAACCTTTGATGACAAGTATAAATCTTTTTCATTGTTAATAGGCTTGTTGTAAGTATAAAATTATGTGCAGATGAAATTAGACGAAGCGCGCAGGGATGAAGCAGTAATTTCAAAGTTGGATTTAGAAAGGCGCGATGAGATGGATTCTCTTCGAAACAGCCTAAAGAGATTTGAAATAGAAATTGAAGACTACAAGGAAAAGGAGCGCACTTTCGCTGTAAAATTGTTACTTTCTTTAAAAAAACCCTTTCCTCTTCATTTTATTGTAACTGTTGACAAACTAGTGTGTAAACAGATATTACCCAATAATTTGACTCTGGAAAAGGTAGCTTAACCTGGAATGCGTTATTTTTTGAACTTTGAAGGAAGATTTATCGGATCTTAAAAGGGCACTTAGAGAAGCTGAACTGCTTGGAAAGAAGGAGAAAGCAATCGCAGAAAAGGTAAAGCTGGGCCTTGTCTTGAACTTTTTCTTGATCATATAGGTTTAGCAGAATGTGCACTGTTACGGGCTTGTGTTTGCATTATTTTTAATGCTTATCTTATCAATAAAAAGTTCTTTGATTTACCAGTGTTCAGGCTTTAGAAGAAAACAGTGGTTTAATCAAGGAAAATTCTGAATTATGTGCGAAAATATCATTGTTGGAAATTGAAATTGCTCAACTTAATAAGGACAATGAATTTCGCAAAATGAACGACATTAATTTAGCGGAATTAGCGGAAGTATGGTTTCAACAAGAAATTGCTTATAGCAGATAATGAGTCATAGTTTATTAGTCAGCATAATAACGACGAGGTAGAAAATAAGTATTAATTGAAAGTGTTGTTATATTACGGAAAAACGTTGACTTTTTAAGTAAAGCTGTACTTTTTTGATATTATTAATTCCACCGTTAACAATAACTTTTTAAGATTCGAGAGTCGGAAAAGCGATCAAAACTAGAAGTTTCACGCCTTCAGGAGAAACTGAAAGCCGAGCAAGAACGTCTGCACAATACCGAAGCTCAAGTATTCTTCAGTGCAGTACTTATTATTTTTATTTGGATAATTGTTTCCAAAAAAGACACTGTACTGGCACAATGTGAAACAGTAGGCATTGTAGACACTAGGCAGTGTTGAGTTACCGAAGGTCAGAATAACATTACTTAGTGTCAAACAACCAGTTTGAAAAACTGCAAAGAAAAAAAATTATAGGAATACTGGAAGTCGATGAAGTGC